TTGGCAACTTTAAGTCCTGTGGACTTAAACTCCCAGAATCCCCCAGCCAGCATAGCTGGCTGGGGAATTCTGGGAGTTGAAGTCCTGTGGACTTAAACTCCCAGAATCCCCCAGCCAGCATAGCTGGCTGGGGAATTCTGGGAGTTGAAGTCCACTAGTCCTAATGTGGCCAAAGGGTGGAGACCCCTGGCTTAAACCACAGCTGGGTGGGTGGAGAGGGGGTTCTTTTCTTTCGACAGGTCCCCAAAGACCCTCGGAAGGAAGAAGACCCCTTCGGGAAGCAGGGAGACCCCTCCCCACCCCTTTCTTGACTAGAGCAGTGTTTCTCAAACTTGGCGACTTGAAGTCCTAAAGGACTTCAACTCCCAGAATCCCCCAGCCAGCATAGCTGGCTGGGGAATTCTGGGAGTTGAAGTCCTGTGGACTTCATCTCCCAGAAACCCCCAGCCAGCATAGCTGGCTGGGGAATTCTGGGAGTTGAAGTCCAGACATCTTCAAGTGGCCAAGGTTGAGAAACACTGATCTAGGAAGAAGAGGCTGTTTTCACCCTCTTTTGCTCACAGATAATATCTAGGATGAATTGCTTCTTATTCCTCTGGAATTCACTCCCTCCCTCCTGGGAATTCATCTCCTCACTACATTACATCCCATAAGATCAGAATTTCTCAGCCTTGGCAACTTGAAGATCTGTGGATTTCAACTTCGTGCTGGGAATTCTGAGAATTGAAGTCCACATATCTTCAAGTTGTCAAAGTTGAGAAACACACAGATACAGCCATGTGCTCACAGATACCTATTGTTTCCAAAACAACAATGACAATCTTTTCTCAAACCCCCATTCTCTGCACCCTGTGTTTTAAACCTCATGGTTTTTAACTCATTTATTTCTGTTTAGTTTAGTGATAATGCGTCACTGTAGCATTTACAAAACACTTCTAGCATCTACTGTGAGAATAAATCAACGTTTGCTTTCCAAATGAAGTTTGAGTAATATTGATTTGTATCTTGCTTTGGGCCATTAATAACCATTTATCCTATAAAGACTGCAGTCCATTCATGTGGTGCGTTTCAATCTTTACATCCATTGTTATTAATATTTCTGAAGCTTTTCTTAAAACCCTGAAAATAGTAGAGTATAGATGGTGCTTTCTTTTCATAAATAGAATATTGTCAATGTATGGATCGTATATTGTGTTGTTTTTCCATTTTTCTCCAGCCATGGACGATTTAAGCGCTCAAACAGTGTAACGGCAGCTGTTCAAGCCGATTTAGAACTCGAAGGGTTTCCTGGACACATAACGATGGAGGACAAGGGACTTCAGTTTGGGGGGTCTTTCCAGCGGCATTCAGAGCCAAGTACTCCCACCCAGTATGGTGCAGTAAGAACTGTGCGGACACAAGGCCTCTTTAGTTATAGAGAAGATTATAGGACCCAGGTTGACACCTCCAATCTCCCACCACCTGAGCCTTGGTTGGAACCATCCATGGACACCATTGAAACAGGACGGATGTCTCCGTGTCGACGGGACGGGTCATGGTTTATGAAGCTGCTACACACTGAGACGAAAAGGATGGAAGGATGGTGCAAAGAGATGGAGAGAGAAGCAGAAGAAAATGATCTTTCCGAAGAAAGTAAGAACATATCTTTCACTGCTTATTCTTATCTTATAGTTTTTAATCTATTCACTTCTGTACTGTAGCTGTTATCACATTGCATTTTGGGAGTTGGACAAAATGGGGAAATTTTTTTTTCTATATATATTTTTTATTTTTCATTTTCATTTTCATACACTCACATGTATACACCATACAGTATTAAACAATAATTGCATCAATTTCTCTTGTCAACAATGCCCCAGAAAATGATGCAATTATTGTTTAATACTGTATGGTGTAAACATGTGAGTGTATGAAAATGAAAAATAAAAAATATATATAGAAAAAAAAATTTCCCCATTTTGTCCAACTCCCAAAATGCAATGTGATAACAGCTACAGTACAGAAGTGAATAGATTAAAAACTATAAGATAAGAATAAGCAGTG